AAGCTGCTGCTGTTAGGTTCGATAAGTGATGGAGCGGGAAGGATCTGCGGGCCTAGCGTTTATTGTTACTTGTAATAAGCAAAAAATACATTAATCTTTTCTTGCAAAAAATTAATTCACATTTTGGGGTGTATAATTTTCGAGATGTTTTCCCAATTTATTATATGTAGGACATATTATTCAAAGGGCATTAAGTACATTATTTACGTTAAATATTAATCTGTTTTTCTAATCATAGTTGTGTAAATACTTCTAGTCATCAAACAAAAGAATTTGGATTGTAAAGTTACTACATGCAAGTGTACTTTATTTATAATTTACAGTATATTCTAAAATCTTTTATCTTCAAAAATCTGTGTATCAAGTGAATTTGCCAGACTACTGTTGAACACAGGGGCGGTTTCTCCATTGGTTCATTTGTGCAGTGAACACCCAGTTAAATTTCATAAAAACACATTATTTTAAAATTACATAAAAATATAAATTTAATTTTAATATTTTTATTTTCATACGTGTTAATCTATATTTTTTGGTACATCATTGTCCTCTGGCTGATTGCATCTCTGTGGCACATTATACCTAAGTATACTGTGTCTGTGGCGCATTTTGATGACTGAGCCTAACACGAGTGAGACGGTATGGTAAATGCATATAGCTAAAAAGAGAAGAAAACACGCCAACATATTCTTCAAACTGTCAAAGAACATCTTAATTAACAAGGGGGGTAGCCATGTGTGAGTTGAGGTAATTTTAAGGTGAAGGGTGAGAAAAAGTCCTTTATATCTCACAAGGAAAGTCAATGTTTAATTGTGTAACAAAACATTGAGTGCGACCGGTTTCGAAGTGTCATCACTTCCTGTTTTCTCAACACTAATTTAAATTTATCGTTCTAACTTCCTTTTTAACCTCCCCCCTTTATTTCTATTCACATATCTTCTTGCAAGGGGTACATTTCAGTAAGTAATTTTTATATTTTTTATATTTTTCCCATAAGAAACCAACGAGCACGTGTAAAGATTAGGTTAGATTGTCTGATATCCACATGCGTCATTTTTTTTCTTTTATTCTTCAGTTGCTTCACAACAGTTAACCCAGTCATTTCTTCTTCTTTCTTCTTCCTACAACATTACATACACTTGGTGATTGGTTCATGGCCCAAATCTTATATAATATATAATAAATAATTCTTCACTCATAGTTTACATCTCATTAACTATACCCTGTCATAAGTTTACCCAAGAATTTTTTCGTTATAATACTTACCACCACCTGTAGAGGCCTTAACTTGACAGGTCTCCTTTTAAAAAATGTTAGTTTTTTTAAAAAACAACAATGTTTAAAATAGGCCTTATCTTTTAATCTGTTTAATGTATGTGATTTGTTTTTGTATAGTCTTGAATATTTTAAATTTTTACTATAATTGACTAATATTTGTTTTTTCAAATATTTTTAACTTTTTATTACGTGTAAATCGGTTCATTTTACAATTTATTTCAACCCAAAATTGATGAAACTTGTTTTTGTAGTATTCCCTAGTGGATGGAGAGTATGGTGAGTTTTCTCTTTTTTATTATTTTATATATCGTTTTGTTTCCAAGTTAACACACCTTATACCACATATTCTCCTTTCCACTAGGCGAGCCTGAAGATGAAGTGATGACACTTCGAAACCGGTCGCACTCAATGTTTTGTTAAACAATTAAACATTGACTTTCCTTGTGAGATATAAAGGACTTTTTCTCACCCTTCACCTTAAAAAAACATCTTAATTGGCGCGCCGCTCACAAACAAGGTTGCCAAACCAGTGTTGCCAGTCTAGTACAATTTACAATTGTACTAGATGTAGTACATTCTGCGTGTTCACGTGTAAAATATATATTGTGGTCCTTGTTTGGGTTCGTGATCAATAAAGACCCCCTTTTTTCCCCTTCAATGAATTAGATGTCACTACAAATAGAATTCGAAAAATCTGATACATTTAAGGAATCTGGTACATAACAAAAACATATTCTGGCAACACTGTACCAAATAAAACAAACTGTCATAGAGTAAGTGTTCTGTGATACTGTGACTGTCATTTCGTTTGCCGTCATTATGGGACGGTTTTAATAAAATTAAGATTATTTTATTATTTGTGATCATTTAAAAAAAATGTGAGAACTGCAACTTTAATAAATTGGAAGGATATATGTCAATTTAACGATTGTTCCCGAAAAAGACAAGGCAAATAAAAACTTTTTAAGGTTATGTTGTTTACATATAATAAAGATTTACGACTGTAATTTGTTTTATATTTTGTTTCAGTACCTAAGATCATCCAAAGACTAATTCAAAAATGGTCTATTTTGTACCCAATTGTAAATACTATGAAGTAAGAAGTAAGCAAAAAAATTGTAATTTTTTTCCAACAAAATCCACTAAAAGGAAAAAATTTATTATTTTGATGAGGTAACTACTTGACATCATTATGGAAATGGAAATGTACAATAAAAATTTAATAAAGATAAAGAGACAAATGGGTTTTTACTTTAAAAGTCTGAATCGGAAAAATGGATTAACCAGTTAATTTAATATACTAGATGAAAAATTTTACCTTAGACATGGTATGTACATTTAAATGATTTACCTATATAAAGTTATATTTGCCTGCAATTATCAACCGTGTTACCCTCCAACCAAGATCGTTTGTTGCATACAAACCAGAAATTTTTTATTTAAATGATATTTTTTTATTGCCTTGTTTGTATAATTTAGTATTTTTAAAAATATTAGATGTTATGGTAATTTGAATCACTACAGGTATTAAATAAAAATAAGGCTATTGGTAAATTAGTTTACATTTGGTAATAAAGAATGTCTCGAAAAAGTCTCGAAATAAGTATTAAACAAATTGTGATTTTGATTCATCCGACATATCTACATGCTCTGGCTTATCAATCCTATAAGTACATATCAAAACATTAATGTACTATCTACAATTAAACAATAATTTGAAAATACAGATGAAGCCGATTTACCTATTTAAACAAAATTACTTTTATTCTATTATGGAGAATTTTAGGCCCATTATATCAATCGACTGTTAAAGTTCCAGTTAACTTTATGTTACAGTTAAGCAAATATTTGTTTAGATGAATGTATTGGTAATTTTACCAGAAAGATAAATTCCTCTAACTGTGAGATAATTTAACGTTCGGAAAAGTGAGCGTTAGCGATTTAACTGCAGGGTATTCCTAACCTTAAAATATATTTGAATTGTTGTATGACGATGTTACAATAGTTTCTCTTAAAGTAAATATGAATTATGAAGACGTCGAAATTTTTTCTGATGATAGTGATGAAGATATCGAAGACATGTTTAATGTGGTTATCCGGAAACCTTATACTGTTAGACAGAGACCTAATCATATGGCATTTTGGACAGATGAAGAATTCGTTACACGTTTTCCGTTGAGAAAAGAAACAGTAAATGTTCTTTTAGAGGAAATTGACGAATTGATACGTTTTCCCACGAACAGGCGAGTTTAATTTATTTTTCTTATTATTATTAAATATTAAATAGTTTCTGTAGTTTTTATATACCTGCTACTTGTATATGTATACCTTATAGTTTAACGCTATTTCTGTAGTTTAAAATATTCCGTTTTGAATATTATTAGCTGTTGTTTAGTTGTAGACTTTTGTTATTTGTAAATGATAAGTAGCATTGTGGTAGGGAAACATTTGAAGAAGTGATAAATGCATTCATCGAAGTAATAATTTTATTAATATTTTTGTTTATTTTTAGAAATCATTGCTTAAATCCTCTCCAACAATTACTGATTACCCTAAGATTTTATGCAAGTGGAAATATGCTAATTGCTGTAGAAGATTTTGGAGGAGTACACATAACTACGGTTTCACTAATTGTAAGGCGAGTCACTCGTGCTATATGTTTATTGAAGGAGATGTATTTAAATATGCCAGAAGGAAATGAAGAAATTTTATCAGTACATCATGGTTTTCACCTGATTGCCGCATTTCCTCGTGCGTTACTGGCTGTAGATGGGACTCACATACGTATACAATCCCCAGGTGGTGACCAAGCTGAACGATACAGAAATAGAAATGGGTACTTTTCACTTAATGTTCAAGTGGCATGTGACTATAGATTAAAATTTCGAAATATAGTTGCAAGGTGGCCAGGATCTACACATGATGCTTTTATCTTTGAAAATTCTGCTTTAAAAGCAAGGTTTGACAATGGAATGGGAAACTCATTGATTATAGCAGATAGTGGTTATGGTGTGTCACGTTATATTATGACACCGATTGAACAACCTGTATTGAGGAAACAGCAATTTTATAATGAAGCATTGATCCGAACAAGAAATACTGTAGAACGAGCCATTGGTGTCTGGAAACGTAGGTTTCCCATTCTCGCACTTGGGATGAGAATTGCTCTTAGTACTGTTAAAAACATAATAGTTGCATGTGCAATACTGCACAATATTGCAATTGACCAAAATGAACAGGAGTTGCAAGTAGATGCAGAAATAGAGCAGTTCATAAATGATGTTGTTCCAAATGTTCCAAATGCTCACATTGCAAATGAACCTGAATATCGTACACAACTTATTAATGAATATTTTACTCTGTTACAATAAAGTTTGTTTTAATAAATATTGTTTTTATTATTTTTTCATTTAACTTTGCAGATAGGTACATGAAATAAAACATTTTTAGTATCAATATTAAAACAACTGTATTAATTAAACTAAAACTACTTAAACACAATTATTTATTTACAACAAAAAGAAACAAGCTTATAAAAAATTACAACTTAAATATTACATAATTAAATTGACATTTCTTTTTAAATTTTACAAAAAAAAACTTAAGCCTATAAAAAAATACAACTAAAATATTACATAAATAAAATGATGGCTTTTTAAATTTTAAAAAATTATTTATTTACAACAAAAAAAACTTAAGATTATTAAAAATTTACAATTAAAAAATTAATCAAATTGATATTGGTTTTGCATTTTTTTTAAACTTGCTTTTTTTATTTCTATATCTAGCTTCTTTGCTTCAACCTCTAATTCTGAAACTTGTAGATCTACTTCCAACTTTTTTAGGGTCAGCTCTCTTTTCTTTTTTTTATATTCTGCCTCATCTTGTATGTGCTGGCATTGCATATCGACTAAAGTTTTTTTAGCATGTGCCTAAACACTTACTCTTTCTACAGCTTCTGGCCTCTTTATCATCTTTCTCTTCTTCGATACTAAAAAAAGATAAGTACTGTTTTATAATGCTATTAATCTATTTAAAATATATCTGTTTTATAATGAAAATTCCATATATTTTTTTACATGTAACAATATATACCTTGCAAACATTCAGTTGTTTTTCTCTTCAAGGAGGAAGGTTTCCATTTTGAGAATGATGGCGTATGTTTTCCCGTTTCTTTTGTTAGAGCCTCCTGGTCTGCAACAGACTCATTCTATTGGACAAAAAAGTAACTTATTTTTTAAAAAGTAAATAAAAGTATGTAGGTAAATAATATTAAATCATACAACTTTCTCAGATATTCAAATAGTTTTTAAGCCTGTATCAAAACACTTACACGTTCTACATTTTCTGGCCTCTTGATCGTTTTTCTGTTTGATACTAAAAAAATAAAAGTACTGTTTTATAATGCTATGTAAAGATTATTTATAAATTTTATAACAAAAATTGCATTTTCTTTTTTCATGTTATAAAATAATGAAATAAATACCTTGCAAACATTCTGTGGCCTTTCTCTTTAATGTGTAAGGTTTCCATTGTGAAAATGATGGAGTATCAACAACATGGGAATCTTCTTTTGTTTGAGCCTCCTGGTCTGAATCATCATCATTCTATTGGACAAAAGAGTAACTTATTTTTTAAAAAGTAGGTAGGTAAATAATATTAAATGATACAACTTTCTCAGATATTTAAATAGTTTTTTAGCATGTGCCAAAACACTTACATGTTCTACAACTTCTGGCTTCTTTATCGGTTTTTTGTTTGATCCCAAAAAAAAATACTATTTTATAATGCTATAAGTATAAAATTATTTTTAAATTTTATAATAAAAATTTAATTTTTTTTTTCATTTAATTAAATAACGAAATATATACCTTGCAAACATTCTGTGGCCTTTCTCTTTAATGTGTAAGGTTTCCATTGTGAAAATGATGGAGTATCAACAACATTGGAATCTTCTTCTGTTTGAGCCTCCTGGTCTGAATCATCCTCATTCTATTGGACAAAAGAGTAACTTATTTTTTAAAAAGTAGGTAGGTAAATAATATTAAATGATAAAATTTTCTCAGATATTTATATTCAAATTTCATACTAAGTTTTAGCAAGTTTAGCAAGTTTTTAAGTTTAGCTTGTTTTAGCAATTTTTTGCTTCAGCTCTTTTTTAAATTTTCGTATTTGGATTTTAAACTTTTTGAGGTTCTCACTATATCGGATTGTATGTTAAACTCGTTGGTCAGTCTTATCCAACATGCTTCTTTTTCTTTCCATGTCATAGCGTCCGTCTTTTTATTTTCGATGATTTTTTTGTGTTTTTCGATCAACATTATTAAGGAGTCAATTTCCTCTTTACGAAAATTTTGGCCACGTTCTTTTTTTTCTTTTGTTAAATTCATATTTGAGCTCATTATTTTATTACAATTAAAATTAAATAATTGATTTTAATATAGGTATGCTTTTCTCACACAGAACACTAAGGAACACTAAAAAAAGATTCTTAAGAAAGACACAATACAATAAAACTAAAAAAACGATGGAACAAACTCAAAAAACTTTCACAAACAACGTAACAAAGTACAACGCACAAACAACTAATAACTTGGTACAATCTCAAATTTCAAAATAACGGAAAATCCCAAACGCCATTTTATATTTTAATTAGCTGTCACACTTATTTAAAACTAAAATAATTCACCAATCAACACGAGATGACCAATTTTATTTTCATTCCTCTAGCCAATAGTATCTCTTGTTTTGATACCTGAACGTCATATTTAAATACATCTACATCAACACTGGTTTAGAATCGATTTATTTCAGTGGTACCAATCATATTACTGGCAAAAATTCTAGTTAGCTAACAGAGACATAAAAAGTGATTGATCTAATAAAATTAAATTAACTAGAACTTTACGAGGCAGATAAATTTAACTGCCAGTTAGACAACTGGAACTTTAACTGACGATTGATATAGTAGCCCTAAGTGTGATAACATTTTACGATATGTATATCACTAGTTTAGTTCACAGATTTCTGTGTTCAATTATGTGCTGCTATTTCAAACGTTTAGTATCCTTTGATAAAAGAAGTTTAATATTATTGTTGACCTTTTTAAATATTTTACCTCATACATTTTAATGGAATTAAAAATAACGAAATTGTAGATGATGTGGCAAAAAAAGAAACTGATGATAATATCATCATAAATTCATATCAAGTCCCAAGAGGCGATTTAAATTGCTATATTAAATTATTTGAACTAAGTAAGTGGCAAGACAATTATTGACTGTTCAGACAAAGGTCAATTTTTTAAAAACATTCAAAGCAAGATACCCTCCATACCATGGTTTAGCAAATTCAGCAACAGAAGTTTTATTACAACGACTTGTAGAATTAGAAGTAATCATTGCCTGACTCCAAATTATAAAAGAAGAATGGGATTGGTAGACAATGATGAATGCATCTGCGGCGAGGTAGCCGATTTACAACATTTACTTTAAGAATGTATTTTAAATGATATTGACATATCAAATCTATACACCAAACTTATTCAACATAATGTCCAACTACCTATTAATTTGTCACACCTTCTCGCCCTCAAGAATTTCGATGTATACAAAATTATTTATAATCATGTAAACTCCTTAAATTTAAAGCTCTGACGAAAAGAATTAAAATATGTACAAAAATAAAAAATAATATAACTAAACTAAATATTAAAAAAAAAACAAAATTAAAACAAATGCAAAAAAAAGAAAAACAAAAAAACAAACAAAAACAGACGAAAAATTTTAAAAACAAGCAAAAAACATGAGCTAGAAAAACCTATTATAGGATTTACTTCTTAATAATGTAATTAGAGAAATTTGAATTTTTTAAATAAGATGTGAACTGTGAAATATTGTAAGGATAGAACTTAAAATTGAATTAACACAAAATGAACTTTATTAAAATTAATTAAAGATTGACCAGCTAGTTGGTTTTGAAACCAGTGCCAAACAGAAATACATACACACACATTTTTTTTTCTACTCTTCATACAGTATTTTGTGAAGAGTATTATAGGTTTACTTTGTCTGTCATGTTTTTTGTCTGCACGATAAGTCAAAAACGAGAAATGATATCAATTTGAAAATTTTAAGCAAAAATTAAGCTCTATAAGGGAACAAAGCCTATTGATTTTTAACAAATCTGAATAAAAATAGGGGGTTAAGATGGGTTGAAATTAAAAAGAAAATTTTAAAAAACGAAAAGCGATATCAACATGAAATTTTTAGTAAAAATGAAGCTTTATAAGAAGATAAAGCCTATTGATACTGAAAAAAATATGAATATATTGGTGAGTTAAGGGAGGCTAATAAATAAAAAAGAATCCTAACTGAAAAACCAAAAATGATGTAAAGTTGAAATTTTTAGCAAACATTAATCTCTAAGAGGAGAAAAAGCTCTTTAATTATATAAAAATATTCTGATTAAATATGGGGGATTTAAGGGGGGTTGAAATTAAAAAAAAAATCAAAAATAAAAAGCGATATAAACATAAAATTTTTAGTAAAAATCAAGCTCTATAAGGAGTTGAGGCCTATTGATTGTGAAAACAATCTGTTTGAAAATGGGGGTTAAGGAGCTCTGTTAAACTGCGAAGAGTATCATTTAGAATGCCAGGCATTATATATTTTTATTCTAGTTTGTGTCTGTGTAATATTATGTATTGTGATGAGACTGATCTTATAAAATAAACATTTAAAACATTTTAGTTTTAAATGACATCCTTGACAAATTGTGAAAATGATTAAACTTACAATAAAAACTAAAAAATGGTAGGTAAACTTTCATAATAAATTTTTTACGCAAAAATCAATGTCAACCTTTCTACATAACCTGATATATATTTAAAAATAATCTCAAATTATGAAGAAAAGTTAGTTTACTAACTAATAATGTTTATAGATGGTTTTTACCGTATTAAAAACAAAACAAATATTACACTTACTAAAATATTCATATTCATTTATTAATAGTTGTAGTGTTTGAAAACAGTATGATGTTGATAATAATAACTACACTTAATGCAAACTCAAATAATAAAAAAAAAACAGCTATATTGACTCTTGTACAAAGTTTTGATCCGAAATTACCAATGATAAAATTATTGGAAAAAGTGAACACCCATTTAAAATTACCATGAGCCGCCACTGGTTGAACATAACAATCTCTAAATTTGGTTTAAGCTATACTTATGTATTTTTGGAGCATCCTTCAGTATAAAGCAATTATAATAAAAAGACAATGTAAAAAAGGATTAATTGTAATTTTCTTAAATTTATAATGTGTGTATGGTAGAAAACAATAAAACCTACCAACATACTCTAAAGCAAGACTAAACTGAAGAAAAATTAGGATGTTATTTAATTTTGTTTAAAAGAATATCATGAATGTTTTTCAAAGAAATATAGTAAAAGAAGCAGTTAAAATGCTGGATAAAAAAATTAGGGTAACATACATCAGAAAATTTTAGAGAAGCATAACCCTTTATCGTTCTCTGGTCGAAATATCAACCACTTAAGTTACAGGACCATCCCAGGCGTGCAGAGTCGCAGAATCAACCACTTATCATCTAAGCAATGTATTTAGGTTAGATAGCTTACCAAACTGGAGATAGTAAGTACGCGCGCGCTTTTACAGCAGAAGTGGTTCATATATCAACCAACTCGCGTCGGTCTAGGACGTTTCGGCGCGGTCATTTCGGCGCGGTCATTTCGACGCGAGGAAAATTCGACGCCGGCCGTTTCGACGCCAATTGTATTTTTGTAGGTAGGTAATAATTCATACAAAATAATATACAGTTTGTCCCCTTAGGTTGGAATCATATGGAAAACTTTTTTATTATTAATTTTAGGAAAAAAGTTATTCTTCATAAAAATTTCTGCATTTATTCTTTATACGACTGATAAAATTTCTGATGTTTGTATTTTAGGTTTTAGACCATGCTCGACTTTTTATAAACAATAACTTTTTCCCAATATTAATAATTGCCATTCCCATTCCGAACGAGCGTCAAGGTATCTGTTGCTTGGATGATTTTTAATTTTTTGTATTAAGTTAAATTATTTTCTGTGTATCCAACATTTTTTAATAAAACAACAGGTATGTATACAAGCAGATAATATAAAATGATAAATTTCCTGACAATTTGACCAAACATTTAACATTTTTATTTAAAAAACTTCGTTTTACTGTTGAAATCAAAGTGAGGTTGTATTGACCATACTTTTATAAATATTTTTTTGTGATCTGAGATAATTTTTTGTATAATAATGTTAGTGTAAACTCTAGAGAGTTGTTTCCTGGATATTTGGCAAATACATAAACGTTAGCTAAGAAAATAAATTACGTTTTACAGAGACGATGGACTCGAGCATGGCCTTCGACCTCGATAAATTTGCAAATTTATCCGGGGATGATATGTTTAGCTGGTTGGAGGGTATATCTATTGATCAAGCAGAGGATTTGGAATATGATGGAGATAGTGATGCCGATGACTATACAGGGTGATTCAGAACTTAACGTAAAAAATTAAACCGGATGTAGTATAGCATCACAGAAAACCAATAGTGCGACTTTTGAGGAAAAAAAAACCGAAGTAAAAAACTAATTTAAAAATACCCCTAGCACGCCTCTGAAAACTGGACGATTGTAGTATGCAATCTCTCCTCCCCGCCTTACGACTGATAAAATCTGGTGACTGCGCTGCCATTTTACGAGGCGTATGCAGAATGTATGAAAATGTAGTATATCGTAATTTGTGACGGGGTAATTTGTTAACAAAAATGCAATAAATTAAACCATAAAATAAAGGATTAACTTACCATTTTTACAACAGATGTTCAAAATGTTGACCGCCAACCTGAATACACATTTGAGCTCTTCTAATCCAGTTTTTACGAACTAAAGAAAAAATGTGCTCCCTGTCGCGTAGGTCGTTTGCAGCTGCTGTAAGGCGTAACTGCAGTTCTTCAATATTCGGAACTTCTGTCCTGTAAACCTTGTTTTTGAGATGTCCCCATAAAAAAATCCAACGGATTCAGGTCTGGAGACCGTGGAGGCCATAAAACTGGTCAGCCTCTTCCAATCCACCTTAACCCGTAAACATTATGAAGGTGTTGACGAACAACTAAACGAAAATGTGGGGAGCTCCATCGTGTAGGAACCACATCCATTGACGAACATCTAGAGGCACATCTTCTAGTAGTCCAGCCAAGTCATTTTGAAGAAAATCAAGATATTGTAAACCATCCATTCGATTTGGTAAAATATGTGGTCCAATTAATCGACCGTTTACAATACCAGCCCAAACATTAAGTGAAAACCGATGCTGGAAATGATCTTGTCGAATCGAATGAGGGTT